CCGCCGGCGGTCTCGCAAGCCTTCCCCGCCCCCGTCCCCGCCCGCAGTCCCGGCCTCCGAGCCGCGGAAAATACGAAGGCCCGGGCAGCAGCCGCCTCCGACCTGGAGCTATGCCTGCCGGCGTGCAACGCCACAAAGAGCTGGGCCCCAGGCCGGGGAAAGGAGCCACCGCGGCCAACCCGCCTCGCCCCCGCAGGGCCCTAATACTGACTGTCGGCGCCCGCGTCCCGGCCTGGTGTAGGATCGCCCCGCGGGAGGCGGCCAGACGCAGGCTTCCAGCCCTCCATGCAAAAGCTCGGAGGCTGCGGTGGCTTCTCCGGACACGTGCGGCCCTGTACAGAGAGGCCGGGGCCCCGGGTCCGAAGGGAGAGCGCGCTTCCTGCAGCTCGCCGACTCGCTCCAGGGGCCCTGTGGCACCGAGCGGAAGCTGGCGACCCCACCCAGTCCCCAGTCTCCGCCCGGCCCGGCCAGCGGGGGGCAGCGGCTGGGTTCGCGGGAACAGTCTCCCAGCCTGAGGACTGGCGGGGCACAGGGCGGGGCCGCCCCGCGCGTCCCCTACGCCCGGCACACGGCGCCTGCCTTGAGGTCCGCGCCGCCGTCGCGCGCCGCCGGGGCGGGCGGCCCGAAGCCCTCGTGGCCGTAGCAGCGCAGCGCCGCCTCTTCATAGGCCTCCAGGATGGTCTGGCGCTCCTCCGGCGTGAAGTCCATGGAGAAGGGGTGCACCTGGAGGATGTGCCGCTTGATGGTGCTGACCTTGAGCGTGGCCAGCGCGCCCCCGCACACCATGCACACCAGGCCGCGCCGGCTGCCGTCGTAGTCCATCAGGTATTCGCCCCGCCAGCGCGGCTGGTAGTTCCGCCGCTGCTCACGGCTGCGGGGCGGCGGCGGCGGGGGCGGCGGAGGCGGGGGCAGTGGCGGGAATGCGAGCCCCCTGGGCTCTTGGCCGTCCTCGTCGTCTTCCTCTTCCTCGGCCGGCCGCTCAGACCGTTCCCCAGGGGAAAGCGGGACCTCGCCTGAGAAGGGACAAAGGACTGCACTGGAGCCGGTGAGGGGGCACGCAACCAGGGCCCTGCGTCCCGGCCTCACGGACCCCGTCTTTGCCCTCTGGACCGGCTCTCCAGTCTGCCCTTCAGCCCTGCACACTCCCCAACCCCTCACCCAGGCACCACGCCCGGCCCCCTCTCCCTGCCTGCCCCGGGGCCCTGCGCCCGCGCGCCCGCTCCACCTGCTCCGGATTCCACCGGCTCACCCCACCACTCCTCTGGCTCCTCCTCCTCTTCCCCTCCCCCCTCCTCGGAGGCTGAGGCTGTGCTGGGGGCGGTGGGGTCCCTGGGGGACTCGGGGCAGGGCAGCCCCAGGGCCAGCAGGTGGGCGGCCTTCTCGCTCCACTCCTGGGCGATGAGGGCCTTGACCGGCCCGCTGAGGTGCGTGGAGCCCGGGTGGCGCTGGCGGATGTGCCGCTTGATGGTGCTCATCTTGAGCGAGGCCAGCGCGCCCCCGCACACCATGCACACCAGGCCGCGCCGGCCGCCGTCCAGCTCCATGAGGTACTCCAGCCGCCAGCGCTCCTGGTAGTGGCGGCGGTGGTCGCGGCCACGCGGCGCCGGGCCCGGGTCCCCCACCCTCTCGCCCTCCTCCAACTCCTCCTCTGCGGGCCCGGGCCTCTCAGGGACCCAGCCAGCCTCTTCCTTTTTTACGTCTGGGGGGCTGAGATCCTGAGAGGAAGGGGCTCCAGCAGCGGAGGCCGAGTCCCGGCTTTTTCTGGTCAGGTCCTGGGGGACGAGGTCGTCGTCTGTTGGGGAAGGGGTGAGGGAGAGGGGCTCAGCCTGCTGGCTGGGTTGCCCTTACCCACGTAGAAGGGGTCCCTTGCCCCTCACCCCAGCCCCAAGCTAGAGGCCCCAGCCACTGGGGGAGGATGATGGCCGGGGAGTGAACCCCTCCCGGTTTTGGTCACAGACCCCACTTTGCAGCCCTAATATGAGGGGGTCTCGGCCCTGGGATGGGCCTCGCACCTGGTGGGGACTGGGTGAGCTCAGACTGTGCCTCGGGCTGGCCACCCCAGGCCTGTAGCAGGGCGCTGCGCTGGGGGCCGCTGAGCCCCAGGGAGCTGGGGTGCACCTCCAGCACGTGGGCACGGATGTCGTCCAGGTGCAGGCTGGGCAGTGCCCGGCCACAGGCCATGCACACCAGCCGGTTCCCCCGAGGGTCATAGTCCATGAGACACTCTGCCCGGAACCAGTTCTGCAAGGATTCCTTCAGCCTCCGCTCCAGGCGCCGGGCCCCCAGCCCCCTGCTGCCCCCGGCCCTCCGGGAGGAGGAGAAGCTTTTACGACGAGCCCGGGGTGCCACTGGGCCCCCTCGCGGCTGGCGCCGACTGCCCCCACCAGCTGGGGCTTTGCCTGAAAGGGTTGAGGGAGGGAAGGAACTGAGATGCTGGCCCTCTGGGGAGCCACCCCTCACCACAGCCGGATCCTCCACAAGCCTCTTCCTCACTGGACACCGAGCCCCCCAGCCTGAGCTTCGCCCTTCTCTTCCTCTCTCCTCAGGTCTTAACTCCGCCAACCTCCTAATACTCCTGCACACAAACCCTAAATCCCACCTGCTCCTCCTGGAACCCCTTTCCTGGATGTCCCAGTTTGCCACACCTTTTCTGCTCCCAGCCCCCCCCTCTCCTGCCAGTCCCCCAACCTCCATTCTTTTTGATCCTTCTAAATACCACAGAATGTCAGGGGCCTTGGGGATCACCCCATTCTGTCGTCCCTCCCCTGCTATTGTACAGTAAGGGCAAGAAGTGGACCCCACTGCAAAAATTAGCAGTAACTTGCTCAATGTCAGCTTGTTGGCTGAGAAGCCAGGGCTGGCCCCACCTGGCCCCACCCACCACTCCAGCCCCTGCCACTCATCTTGCATTACCTGGGCCTTTAGGCGGGCAGGCTTGGAGGCTAGCCCCCTCCTCCTCTTCCTCTTCGTCTTCCTCCTCCTCCTCCTCAGCCCCCTGGGCCCCCAGGCCCTCTGCCTCTCCACAGGCCCCCAGCCCCAGGTGGGCATCCCAGCTGTTGCTGATGACTTCCTTCTCCCGTGGACTCCAATGCAGGGAGTAGGGGTGCTTTTGGCGGATATGCCGCTTGATGGTGCTGAGCTTGAGAGTGGCCAGGGAGCTGCCGCACACCATGCACACCATGCCATGCCGGGCCGGGTTGAAGTCCATTAGGTACTCCAGCCGCCAGTGGTCGTGGTAGTAACGCCGGTGGTCCCGGCCAGGGATGCGGCTCTTTCCAGGCCTCGAGGCCCGGGCCTCACAGTGGTCTGAGTATTTCCTGCCTGAAGATGCTGGTCCTCTGGCCCTGGAGGACGACAGGGGGGCAGTGCCCCAGGACCCCAAGGCATCCCCTTCCAGCTGAAGATCTTGCCCTGAAGAGGGGAAAAGGGAGACAGTTTTTCAGTCTCCGATTTCCAGAGAAAGAACCCAGGGTTTTGATTTTGGTGCCTGAGACAGGGAGGTGGGGGAGGGGTCGTCCAGGGGCAGGAAACGGACCACAGCAGCAGTAAAAGGGTGTGGGAGAGCAGGCAATGGGAACTTTGGCCCTTTGCAGAGAGCGAGGACCCTTTAAGAGGATCAAGAACAAAAGGATGAGGGCATGTGAGGGACTGGCTTTCACTTTTTAAAAAATAAAGTGAAGACCATGGAGACAGGTTCTGTAAGGTACCCTTTTGGACAAGGACTGTAGGAGTAAAGCCAGGAGTGCGGCATGCCAGGCGGTTACAGCAGCGCAAGCGGGCAGCGGGGCGAGAAGAACAAAGGGGGCATCTGTCTGCATCCAGGCCTGGAAGCAGGACCCACCCATCTAGGGCCCCAGCCAGGATGGCCCCACCCAAATCTTCTCCCCTTTTCCAATAATGCCTCAAATGCAGCTTCCTGAGAGTCTTAAGAGGGTGCTAAGCATTGTCAGTTCCTCCAATGGATATTCCAGATCCATGATAGGGATCCCCAACAAAGGTGTTGACAAAGCTGTCAACACCTCCTGGGAAAGGAGTTTCTAGGACCTTGACTTCCCTAGTCTAGGAGAGGCCATGACCCTGAAAGGGGACAGGCAGGAAGGCCAACAGAGTGGCTACTGAAGATTCTGCGGCAGGGAGTGGCTACCACCCACTGGAACCCATTAAGTCTTCCTGGGGATTTATTTTTGCTCTGGCAGGGAGCCGGCCACTGCCCAGCAATCAGAGGGCAGGCACTGGAGAGGCCCAAGCATACAGCCCACAAACCCAGTGATGGTCCCTTTTGCCAAACACACAGAGACCCCAAGCAGTCCCCCCACCTTCCCTAGTTTGAATTCTATTTTATTTAGAAAAGGGTCTCCAGGCCACATAAGCTGAATGGACAGATGTGGTCATTCTCCCAGTGGAGAATCTCAGGGTCAGGAAACAAAAGACAGGATCAGAGAGGGCTCTTGTCAACCATTGTGGTTTTTGTTTGTTTTTGCTTTAAGCAGATTTGAATAAAAAGCACTGGCTTCGGAGTCAAGAGACCTGGGTTCCGGTTCTGACCTCACTGGCAACTTGCTTAGTGATCTTTGATAGGTCATGTCGTTTTCTGGGCCAATCCTCTTTGTCTGCAAAGGCACTGGATAGCTAGCGGATCTCTAAGCATCCTTCCAGCGCAGGATCTATGCGAGTCTAAGGTGGACTGGCCCTTTAAGAGCCAAAAAAAAGGGGAGGAGCTGAGATTTTTTAAAAACAAAAGGGATGGGGAATTTCTCGGAGGGGAGCTCGGAGCTTAGGGCTGAGCCTCCCCAGCCAGGGCAGAACCTTCACGAGTCTTAAGGCGTCGACTCTGCAGCAGGGAAAGTAAAAATCAGTGTCTGAGAGCAAACGAGCCTGGCTGGTACCCCTACAGCTGAGAAATTGTGGCAAAATTTTCTGAAAAGAAGGGAGGAGGTTACGCGCAGTAAGGAGGGGGTGTCTGCCTTTGTGGGGGAGCACATTAAAAACTGCCCGCAATGAGGAAGGAAGTGGTGGGGCCCCCCGGAGGCGTGCCATGCTCTTTCCAAGGGAGACGTGAAGGAAAAGGGTTCCTATCTCTAAGCAAAGCCAAAAGAGGAGAGGAGCAGCTTGACTTGAGGCAGCGGAATTCCCAGCTCAGCTCCCCTGGGGGAAGCCCCGAAAGGGACCCGTGGTCTGGGAAGACTTTTAAGAGACAGCTGGATAAGGCAGACCACCTGGGAGTTTGAAAGAGAAAGGAGCGGGGGCCGCGAGTCCAGCAGCCTAGAGCGCGCGCCCTGCGGCGCCTGACCGGGGCCTTTGGGGCCCCTCCCGCCTGGCCTCCAAGGCGGGGGCCGCGGGGCCCTTTAAGGGGGAGTGGATCCGCCCGAGCCCCGCGGGTGGGCCCCGAAGCTGGGCGGGGGGCTCCCCGTTAGCCCTGCAGCCGCGATTTGCGCCCGCCAGGTGGCGCCCCCGGCCGCCCTGCCCGCGTCCCCCGCTTTGTTCGGCGGCGGAGAGGGGCCAGGAGCCCGGAGTCGCAGCGCTCCCCTCCCCCATGCCGGGGCCCCCGCCCGAGCCGCCGGCCCCGGCTCTTACCGCCGTCGTCGTCCTCCGGCTCCGCGCCGCCGCTCGATCCAGCGGGCGGCAGCCGTCGGCCCCGTGCCGAGGCCGCTGCTGGCCCGGGGCCGCCCCTGCCGCTGCCGCTCCGGCTCCGGTGGTCCCCGCTGGGCTCCATGCGCTGTGCTGCGGAGCGGGGCCCCGGGGCAGCGGGCCGCGGGGCCGGCGGCGGCCCGCGCGGGGCGCTGGGTGCTTGGGACCCCGGGGCGCGGGGCGCATGCACGGGGCCGCCGGCCGCACGGACGGCTGGCTGCTCGCTCGGCGGAGCGGGCTGGACCGGGGTGGGAACTCCTGTCTGGGGCCCCTGGGGCTCCTTTAAGGGCTCCTGGGTAAATTTAAAGGGGCCGCGCGCTATTTCCTCCTGCCAGCTCGCGGGGGGCTGGAGGGGAGAGGCGGGAGGTGACGAGCTGGCCCGAAGCTCCGCAGCCGGCGTCCGGCCCGGACGCTAGCAGCACGGACCTAGCCGCCCTCGCGGGCCCGCACGGCCGCTTCCGAGGATCCAGTCCCGGCTCCTTAAGGGTCACTGAGGTGGCGAGGGGCGCCCACGTCCGCTGCGACGCGCTTTCACCCAGATCGGCTCGCAGCCACAGCCCCCTCGGGGCATCTCAGCGTACCGGCGCGGGCTACGAATAGCCTGTGGGAGACCCGGGTCCCTGCCAGCGCTGCTGCCTCCCTTGCAAGCTCGGCGCGGGCCCCGCAGCGGACGCAACTAGCAGGGGCCCCAGATGGCTGCGTCCCCGCCGAGAGGGTGGAGCCGCGGGGGCGGCCGCGCCCCCTCCCGCAGGAGCCGCCCGGGAGCGCTGGGAGTTCTGGCTTCTCCATTGGAGGGGCTCGCGGGTGAGGCTGCCCCAGAGCCGGCCGGAGGTGGGGGCTGCGGTCGCGGAGACTCAGGCCGGGAAAGGGGGCGCGCAGTAGACTGGCAGAGGTGGCTCCGCCGGGACCCGACACTGCGGGGTGGAGGTGGCCCCAGGATGGTAGACGGGAGCAGAAGGCGTCCGCCGCCGTGACTCAGACTTCTGGTCGCACAGGCCCGGAGGTTCCAGACAAGGCCCTTGACGCGGCCCCAGAACCCCAGCCCGGCCCGAGGAGGCGAAGAAGGCTGGCCCAGGGTGGGTGGTCGGGCACCTGGGACGCGCGCCACCACGGCTGAGAAATGCTGGAGCAGACCCTGGCCGCGAGCCCCGGGATGCCTCGGGGCCCCCAGCTCCCGGGAAGCCGAAAGATGGGACTTGAAGAGGCAGCCAGGGGCTCGGCACCGGGGGTCTTTCTGCGAGGACCGGCTGGAGGAGCAGGTGCTTGCTTTGCCTGTGGTTGGCCGCCCACAACAAAGGCGATTCCCAGAGATCCAAATTACAGAGTACAGAGGCCATGCAGGGTCTTAGTATCAAGAAGTGAGTTTTATTCTCTTCATGGGAGAGGTACCCAGGAATCCATTAAAGAAGTCACTCTTGACAGATTCGTTCGCTCACTCAACACCTACTGTGTGCCGGCGCGTTCTTAGGCGTTGGGCTACAACAGGGAAAGACAAGTCTGATACTGTAAGACTGACTTAACAGGCACCCATAGCCTATAAAAAGGAAGCAATCCAGCCCTTTGGGAGCCACGGGAAATACTGAATTCCTTGGATCATAGGAAGCTTATCCCCGAAGTGTGAAAAGGGGCTGGAAAATTTCTTAATTGTCTAAGTGTAGTTTGTCACCATTGGGGATGTTATCCCATCTCTTCCTCAGTCCCCATATTGAACTGCAAGAGACATCACTTTGCGTAAACTGAGTCTCGGCTTACAGCTATTTTCTCGCAGCAGCTGACCTTGTGACCAGGGAGGAGCTGCACTCCTTATTGGCACTTGAGGGCAGGGGTCCTGGTACTAATGGGGTGCCAGACTGGGTGTGAGATGGGGAATTCCTCATTTATTATGCCCTTCACCTGTGCCAGGCCCAGGCCCACAAGGGCGAGATAAGACACAGACTTGGTCTTCACATGTTCCTAAGTGTGTTCTTTTTGTTGTTCTTTTTTCTTTTTCCTTTTTGTTTTTTTTTTCTAAGTGTGTGCTTTTAAAAATTAAGATGGTAACCCTCACTCAGGCCACTACAAGGCACTTCGGTGTATGTCCTTTAGTTCTTTATATGTATAAATAGGATTATTTTTTTTTACCAAAAGAAAGCTATCAAAGCCACCCGGAGCCATTTTTAACATCTATGGCTTCTCTCCTTGCCCACGTCCTGCATGTCAGGAATGGCTCCAAGCCTTGCAGTTCAGAAGCATATCCCACTCACCATTTAATCCTCATGGCCACCCTATGAGGTTTTGCTTTCCAGGTGAAATAAAGGAGATTCAGAGTCAAGAGTCTCTCCGAAGGCCAATTCATGCATTTACTTATTCGCTTATTCAGAAAGTGTTGGCTGAGCCAACCCTGAGTATCTAGCACTAGGCTGGGGATATATAGATGTTTAAAAATTACATAACAGCCCTGAGGTGGGGTTCCATCCCCACTAAGAGCTCTCTGTCTACTGTGGGAGGGAGGAAACAATGGCAATCAGGGCCACAGGAAGACGTTCATGGGCTCTAGGTACACTTCTATAAGAAAACAAAAATGAGCAATTTTAATTTTTTCTGATGTGATAGCACATTTTCTTTGACCCTTGAAGGTAATTTTTTCTATTGATTTTAAAATTAAACATTTCCATGATCTCCCCCAAAAGTACCATGCGCAGGCCGCCCCCCATCCACAGGCTCTAGGCACCATGCCCCTGGGACGCAATGGTTAGCCGGCTTTGATCGCCATTCAGGGTGGTAAGTGCTCCCTCTCCATTCAGGGAGAGGCCACCCAACCTGGGAGGACTTCCTGGTTCCTTCTAGACTTGAGCCAAGTCTTGAAATACCAAGTGTTGTCAGGGAGAGACACCAGCAAGGTCTTCCCTCCCCCTGGTGGAGACCAGGGACACTCTGCGTGCAGGAGGGCTTCAGGGAGGAGGGGCAACAGCCTCGGGTGCAGGCGTTCAGGAGGCAGCCCCTAGAACACAGGGAGGAGGGAGAGAAGAAAGACTGGACTCTGGCAGAGCAGTCCACAGCAGCAACAGGAACGCCATGAAGGCAGCAGCAGCAGGGCCAACGGAGAGGGGGCTGAAGACTTGGGCGGGCTGCGGCACGCCGTGGTGCCATCATCACCACGCACGCCATTGCAGAACTCAGAGGGTGTCAGAGCCGTGGAAGAATCACTTTTGCTGTTTGTCCCATTATTCATCTTGTTTCTGTTTCCCAAGTGCAGTGAGACCATCTGATTAGCTGCTGATGGCTGCAAACATGCATTTAAAGTCTCTGAGAGACCACAGAGCATCAGGAGGACTATAATGCTGACTGTGAGGAGAATAATACCAAGAGACTTAAATATGCTCCTAAGCCAGGGCCCCCACGAACCAAACCAGTGGGCAGCAAATAAATCAGAGCATGTCCCTGATGCCACCCACCTCTGATAGCCCCAATAGCTGGTTTGTTAGTTTCCTGCATTTGAGTTCCTGCCGTAACAGAGGTGTTGATTCAGGTGCTGCCAAAGTATTTGCTGTGGCACAGACTCCCTGTTCTGCCGAGTAATCCAAAGCAATTCTATTCTCTAAAATCACCTAAGCAAGGGAGTGTAGGCACTTTTCTTGTGCAGTCATGGCCCTAGTGGTAAACTCAGCAGTGTTTGCCAGAGTTAAGGATAAGTTTCTGATCACAGGCTCATTTGTACGAACTCCAAACCAAGGAAGAAGGGACCATCTCAATGATGCCCATCAAGAGGGGTTACATCTGCTGGTAAACTTTTTGGTCAATAGTATAAATTCAAAGGAGTGGACTGATGTTGAGTTTCCGAGACATTGTGAGGGTCAGTAGAACAGTAAATACAGCAAGAGCACCTTGTCCTTTCATGCTCAGCTGTCAATACAATGAGCTGCCCAAGCATGAGGCCACTGCCAAAACCTGCACCTGCAGGGCATAACCAGGAGGTGTACAGAGTCCTCCCACACAGGTGTTAGCATCATGGACCCATTGGTTGGTCTAGAGGTGTTAGCATCATTCAACCATGAGTCAAATGCTGTATTATCAACATACCTGAAAGTCCACCCTGAATATATGGGCCCGGCAGCAAGCCTACAAATGGTCTGACTCTGGCTGCTGTGAAGTGTCTTTTGAATATGTACTCAGTGGATCTGAGTTTCCCATGCCAGGGTTAGGCTAAATTGAGGCAAGGAACAGGGGTATGTAGATTTATGGTTTTAACTTTACAGAAGAGACCTGTAGGAGCTGTTGTTTGTGAAGTCCTAATCATAGTGTGGCTTCCCGTTAAACAGGGAGAAAAAGCAGATAGCAAACAGCAAAAGGCATAAAGTTTTCATCTTGGAGATAAGGATCCTGACCCATGATCTTGGGAGAGCTGCCCACCTCAGGATGTCATCTGCTTCTGGGGAGGAACCTCCTGGGCAGTTTTAATTTTAGGGCTCTGGCTGGTATGAAGCTCTAAAAATCTGGAAGAGCCCTTTTCAACTGGGAGATGTGGACCCAAGGTTCAAGCCCCTGAAGTTTGGCAGGCATCTGGGTAGTGAGGAGAACCTGGTATGGTCCCATCCAACAAGGTTCAATGGCTGTCTTTCTTAGGTGTTTCCAGAAGACCCATACTCTAGGTTCTAAGCTGTGGAAGGTTTGACCTTCCACATACAGGGTAGGAGGGTCACAGAAAGCTTTTTACCTGGTGGACATACACTTTAGCATGATGCATTAATCCTTACCATACTGAGTTGTATTGGAATTTATGAACACAAAAGACATGTGTGATTCTGTTAAAGGCATAGGTCTCCCTGGTACTATTTCCTAAGGTGTTAATCTCTGCTTTCCCGTAGCTGTTGATCTAATTGCCTTCAAACCCGTAGTAGGCCAGGGCAGGCCAGTTGGTTGTTAACTTAGCTAGCTTCAGTTCTAAGGTACCATTTATCCATTCAGCTTTACCTGATGACTGAGGATAGACAATGGCAGTGCCATTGTGTCAGCAGCACTTTTATTTGCTTATTTGTCTTGGTGAAATGAGTCGCTAGAGATTCTCTGGGCATACCCCTTGAAGGAAATATATTTTCTAAAAGTTTCTTAGCCACAGTTGTGGCAAAAGTCTTTATGCATGAGAAGGCTCCAATCTATCCTGAGACCATACAAACAATTACAAGAACATATTGATAACTGGTTGGGGGAGGCAATGCATGAAGTCCATTTGTAAGTGTTCAAGTGGCCCAGTAGGTGGTGGGAATGCTCCATCTAATACCACGATGGTCTTTCCAGGGTTATGGGTTTGACCGGTCTGACATTGGTCATAAACTAATTTTGCAGATTTGGAACGGTCACCCCACCAGTCCTTTTTCTTTTTTTTTTTTTCATTTCTAAATACTATTTTTTTTTATTTTTTATTAAGGTATGATTGATATACACTTTTATGAAGGTTTCACATGAAAAAACAATGTGGTTACTACATTTATTCATATTATCAAGTCCCCACCCATACCCCAATGCAGTCCTGTCCATCAGTGCAGCAAGATGCCACAGATCCACTATGTGCCTTCTCTGTGCCACACTGTTCTCCCCGTGGTCCCTCACACCATGTGCACTAAACATAACACCCCTCAGTCCCCTTCTCCCTCCCCACCCGCCCTCCCACACCCCTCCCCTTTGGTAACCACTAGTTCATTCTTGGAGTCTCGCCACCAGTCCTTTTTCATACCTTGGATCAGTTTATCTGTGCCGTGATTAGTTACAAAGTGTAGAGCTTTTAGTAATGGCATTTGGAAGGCCTCAGGAAGAACCAGGTGGCGGCTATCCAGGCCTTCCGTGAGTCCTTGTGTAATATTAAATCTGTACCCTTGCTGGGTCCAACATTGTTGCTCCAGTTCAGGTGCCTGATTTTTGTCTTTTGTACAAGTTATCATAAATAACTTGGTTAGACTCAGTCTTAGGGAGTTCATTCAAGTTGCATAATAGTTTTAATGCTGGCTGATTGAACATGGAAGTCTCTAGAGCATTTCCCTGGTACTCAGATTCTGTTTTTCTAGTATGAATTTCAGTTTTAGTAATAGCAGTTTGGTTAGGCAATAGAATGGCAGGGAGCAGATCAGGTATCGGGGCCCATTTTTTATTGGGATTCCACTGGAAGTGGGGAACCCTCTCTGTTTCCATCACATACCTAAGTCAAGGGCCACCTCAAAGACATATCTGCTATCACTGTAAATGTTTACGTGAGTAGCTGACAAGCCCATAAGGGCCTGTAGTTCTGCCAGCTGAGCAGACTTAAACTGGGGAAGGATTCTCCTTTCCAATACTTCAAAACTGAGCCGCAACAGCATCTCCTGGTTGATATT